CGGCGGCGCCAGCTGCAGCGCGCGTGCCACGCGCCCTTGGACACAAAGAGGAAGATGGCCTGCTCGGGCTTGAGCGCTATCCTCTGCGAGACACACAGCGATGGTCGTCGGTGCAAAAGGGGCCAGCGGGCGCTCCGTCGCAACGGCCGCGCAGGCACAACGCGTCCGCCGCAGCGCCGTGTGTGCGTGTGTGCCGGCACCTTGCGAATCACGTACACAAACTGGCCGACGGTGAGGTCGGCAGGGACAAGGAACTTCTTCTTGTCAATCAGCGGCAGCGTCGCGTCGCGCGGCCGCTTCTCCACGATGACGGGGATGCGGTCCGGGTGCTTTGCACCTTTGGGGGCGGGCGGACGCACGGGAGCGTTGCGCGGGCAGGCGGCGGCAACAGCGGCTCGGGTTGGGAGCGCCGCGGCGGTGCGCACGGATAGCGAGCGCTTGTGTCCGCCGAGACTCGAAGGAGTGCGCGTCTCTGTAGGACATGGACAGGGCCAGCCAGGCAGGGAGAGCTCTCTCGGCGCTCCGTGCCAAATAAGAAGTGGCCCCCGCGAGCGCTATCCCTCGGAGACCCGTGAGAGAGAGAGAGAGAGAGAGAGAGAGAGAGAGAGAGAGACCAATGGCCGTTATCCGTTAGTGCGGACGTCGCCGCGGCTCGCCTCTGCCGCGGCGGCTGCTGCGCGCACGCGGCGGCGCCGCTCTCTCGCGAGACGGCTGGCGACGCGGCTCGCCGCCGACGTACGGTGCGCTCGTCCGACGGTCCGCAGCGTGGCGTGCGCGGCGCTGAGCGCCGCTCTGCGAGCGCCTCTGCGCCTGCACTGCCTGTCTCTGTTGCTGTTGGTGGTGGTGGTGCTGCTGCTGCTGGTGCCGATGCTGCTGCTGGCGCGGCGCGGCCGTGCGACTGGGTTCGACGCGCGCGTCGCGAGCGTCTGACGCGGCGGGCGGCGTCGGGCAGGTGCGCTTCTCTCTCGGGTGGTGGTGGTGGTGCTGCTGCTGCTGCTGGTGGTGCAGATGCTGCTGCTGGTGCGGCGCGGCTCTCCGACGCGACTCGATGCGCGCGTCGCGGCTATCTGACGCGGCGGGAGGCGTCGCGGGCGGCAGCGGTGGCGGCTCGCGGGTGGAGGTGGAGGCTGGTGGCTGTGGTGGACTTTGAGTTTATTTCATGGTCGTGTACGGGGACCGGGGGGTCAACCGGGAGGCAGGGGGTTCAACCGGGCGACGGAGGACCGTGGGCCATCGCGGGGACGGGTCCGTCCGGAGGGCGAACCCGGCAGATCCGGATGGTCTTCACGCCGGTGGGTGGCACCGAGGCGTCTTGGACGCTCAGCTCTACCTTAAGCTCCTGAGGGGCGCGTGGTTGTAACCACGTAGTATGACTACAACCCACCACAGACACCCTCCCCCACTCCTCACGTGTGTTCACACCCTCACCCTCTCCTCTCTCCTCTCTCTCTCTCTCTCTCCGAGCGTAGGGGTGGCTCGGTG